TCTGTCGCAAGATAAAAAGGGTTGGGGATGTAGCTCAGTGGTAGAGCACCTTTAGCTTCAGTTCCTAGTACTCCCATAAAAGAGACCATAGTTTCAGGGAAACAAGGAGACTGTGGCCCAGGCTGTAAAAACCCTGCCTTGGCCTGCGGATTTAGCTCAGTGGTACTTATGACTGCCTTGAAAGTGCAGTGTCCTAAATTTGACCCCCAGCACCAAAACAAAAAACCAAAAACCCTGCCTTAAGAGCCAGACCAACTGGTTGGAATTTTGCCAGGTCATGGCAATGGGATTTGGAAGGTTCCCCTGTAAAGGATGCTGTGATGGTACCCCATGCTAGTGAGAGATCTCCATGGAAACAGCAGCATGCAGCACACATGCCTTACTTATCTCCAGCTTCTCTAGGTATGAATAGGCAGGAGGCCAAATGCCCCCCTGCCCTGGTCACAGATCCCGGGTTGACTTTGGCCGAGCCCTCAGATCCAGAGAGGACCTGAGCCGGTCTCATCCCCGAGCCTGTCTCCCACCCCATGGAGCCCCCGTCATGTTCATGTCATCCCTGCTCCCCTTCCCAAGTGGCACCCACTTGCACACGCCTCTCCTGGGCAGTGGACCCTTTGCCGCCTGGGATGCCGCTGCCCTGTGGCACTTTGGGGGTGGCTCTGTTGGGTCTCGTGGTCACCTCCCTCCCCAGGCTGTGGTGTCCTCCTGTCTTCAGGACTTCTTCTTCCTCCTAACATGCCATAGATGTCTCTCTCAATACCCTTGCTGTTCCTACTCTTAAGCTGTCTCCCCCTTAACTGTCCCTTTGAAAGCAAGCAATTTTTTATTTACATGATAGGTTTAACAATGTGATTCCTTAATTTCACATCAGCATAGAAGTGTATAGGATACAGATAAAGCCCTTCTCTACCCTGTTTTCTCTCCTGAGGTCTCTCCTGTTTCAATGCTTTTAAACTTCAATTTTGTTTTTAAAAGATGACTATTACCAGGCATGGTGCACGCCTGTGATCCCAGCACTCTGAAGGCTGAGGCAAGAGGATTGCCGGAGTTCGAGGCCAGCCTGGACTATATAGTGAGACCCTATCTCAAAAGTAAATAAAGGGCCAGGAATTCAGTGGCACCGTGCCTGCCTCGCAAGCACAAGGTCCTGAGTTGGATCCCCGATACCGGGGAAAAAAACAAAACAAAAGTAAATAAATAAGACTGTGTTAGGGGCTAGGGTGGGGTGTGGTAGCTCAGTGGTATATAGCACTCGGCTAGCATGCCTGTTTCTTGGGCCAGGGATTTAGGTCAGTGGTTCCACCACCTGCCGTGCAAGCAAAAGGACCCCAGTTTGATCCCCGGTACAAAAAAAAAAAAGTTTATTATTTCTTACACCACACCTCCTGCCAGTGACAGTCATTAACATATTTGGGTAAATTAGGAATTGTCTGAAATAGCAACCTAGGGTTATTATACAAAAAGCATAGTTAGCCTGGCGTGGGGGCGCATGCCTGTGATCCCAGCACTCAGGAGGCAGAGGCAGGAGGATCAACTGTGAGTTCAAAGCCAGCCTGGGCTACATAGTGCGTTCAAGGCCAGCCTGAACCACATGGTGAGACCCTGTCAGAAAAACCCAAAACAAACAAACAAAAAAGGAACAATTTATACCTCTGTAATTCATTACTGTTCAGTAGCTTGCTATCTTGTGCTTTTATGTCTTGATTATTTTCTCATAAATTATCTGTCTCATTCTTTTTAATTAGTATTTCTATTAGCTTATTTTGTTTTCTTTTTGGATTTTCAAGACAAGGTCTCACTTTGTATTTCAGGCTGGCCTTGAACTCATATGTAGCCCGGGCTGACCTCTAACTCATAGTGATCCTCCTGCCTTAGCCTCCCAGGTGCTGGGATGACAGGCATGGGCCATCATCACACCCAGCCCTGTAATTAGTATTTTTATTGCTTTTTTTTAATATATAAAAGGACAGTGGAGGGCCAGGGATTTAGGTCAGTGGTTCCAGTGCCTGCCTTGAAAGCGCAAGGTCCCGAGTTTGATCTCTGGTACCAAGGGGGGGGGGGGCAGTGGAGGGTTTTTGTTTTTGTTTTGTTTTGTTTTCTTTTTTTCAGTGCTGCACGGCCAACCCTGGGCCTCACACATGCCAGCAAGCACTCTAGCACTAAGCTACACCCCCAGCCCTCCTGCCTCAGGCCTGGGCCAGACCTAAGTTTCAGTGAGTAGAATACTGGAAAGGATGGACTGTTACTTGGGGAATGGTTTGCAGAGAGCCTGTGGCTCTGTCTTGCTCTTGCTTTCTCCCTTGTTCTGCCCTGTCCAGCTGCCTTAGTGTCTGCCGTACCCCATGAGGATCTCAGCCCTTAGTGCAGCATCTGTAGCAACTGCATCCTGTCAGCAACCCCATGGGCTAGCTTGGAGGCTGATCCTGCCACAGTTAAGCCTTCAAATGAAGACACAGCCACCCCTGCCGATACAGCTAAAGTGTGCCTGGATTCACAGAAAACTGAGATAAATGTTGACCCACTAGGCTGTGGGGTGGTTTGTTAGGCAGCAGTAGAGACCTTAATAGAACCAGTAACGCGTTTCAGCATCATCTACCACCTGGTACCATGCACTGAGGAGCATGCACAGTCTCTGCCGTATCCTTCTCCACACATAGGCTTCCAGGTGTGGTGTCACATGGCTGTGATCCCAGCACTCAGGAGGCTGAGGCAGGAGAATCGCAAGTTCAACACCAGTCTGGACTACATAGGGAGACCCTGTCTCAAAAAAAAAAAAAGTTTGGAAAATGGAGGAACTAAAAAGTCTGAAGTTTAGTAGTTAATAGTATTGTACCTGTGCTGATTTCTTATGTGTGATCATTGTTCAATGGCATGGTCCCTCAGCATTGGCAGTGGAGATACTTTGAGGGCTAATTCGTTTGGGGACTGTTCTGTGCATTGAAGGATGTTTAGCAGCATCCAGGGCCTCTGCCCATTTAATGCCAATAGCATGTCCCTCTCTCCCCAGTGTGATAACCAAAAAATGTCTTGAGACATTGCCAAATGTCCCCTGGGGAACAAACTTCAGAATCTCTTATATTACATGTTTGATTTTTTTTTTTAATGTATGTGTAGTGCTGGAGATGGAACCCAGGATCCATACCTCCAGTCCCGTTCTGTTAGCAAAATGCTGACATAAGGGGAGGTAGGGGAAGTCTATGAAAACTGCTTCTGCAATCCTGCCCTGAGTTGGAAATTGTTCCTTTCCAGCATCAGCATCGCTGGTCATTAACATACTTTAATGAATCTAGATTTTTTTTTTTTTTTTAGTACTGAAGAGTGAACCCAGGGACCCTCTACCATTGAGCTATATCCCCAGCCCTTTTTATTTTTTATTTTGAGATAGGGTCTTGCTAAATTCCCCAGGCTGGACTTGAGCTTGTCATCTTCCTGTCTCAGCCTCCCTCAAGGCTGGGGTTATAACCATGTGCCACCATGCCTGGCTACAGCCAGAAATTTTCTGTGATATAAACCTACGTAGTTTTAACACAATTGAAATAAATATACATACTACAGTACTGCTGTTTAGCAGCTTACATATTTATGCTTTTTTTTTTTTTTTTGAGGTATTGGGAATTGAATCCAGGGCTCTGCACACACTGAGCCACATTCCTAGATTTTTTTTTGTAACAGGAATTGAAATCAGGACCTTGCACTTTGGAGGCAGGCATGGTGCCACTGAGCTAAATCCCTGGCCCCCTACCCTTGCTTTATAATTGTTATCTTTCTATAAATGATTTATTCACTCTTTTAAATTAGTTTTATTAACCTTTGATTTTGCTTTGCTTTCATAATACTATAATTGCTATGCAGTCCTATGATCGGGTTTGTGTGTGTGTGTGTGTGTGTGTGTGGTTTTTTTTCAGCAAATACCAGGCACTCTTCTGAGTGTTTTATATGGTAGCTCATTGAATCTTCACATCAAATGGAAGAGCTAGGTATTATTGCTTATCTCTACTCTGCAGCCGCAGAAGCTGAAGGGCAGACGTGCAATAATTTGTTCAGGGTCATAGCAAGTGGAAGAGCGGGGCTTTGAACCAAGGCAGTCTGGTGTTAGGGTGCACGGAACCCAACACATCCTGTGTCCAGTCCTGCTCCCATGGGTTCGTGTCCCCGAGCCCCATTCTTTCTAACAGTCACATAAAGGCCCATGTAATCAGACTTTTTCCCCGCCGGTGTCTCTGACTCTTGTATCTCTGCAGCCCACAGTTACCCAGCTCTGGCTGCCCAGACTCTTCAGTGTCCCACGGACTCTACAGAATTTAAATTGGTTCAAACTGAACTCATTCTTCTCCCACCCGCGTCTCCTCCTGTGTCCTCTGATTGGCAGTGCCATCACCCATTAGTTACCCGGGACAAGCCAGATTGAGGGAGTAGGTTGAAATAGGTTCCAAAAGACATGGGAAGTGTTTGGGTCAGTAGCATGGGTAAATGGTTACCCTTGCAAAAATTTTTTAAAAGGGTGGGTTAGCTTTGGACATCTGGAGAAAACAAGTGGGAAGAGGGAGGATGGAGGAGCCAAATTTAGGCTTTGGGACCTCAGCTACTTATCACCAAGACAACTGCGTTACTATGGCAACAGCAACGGGTGTAACGTCCTTTCTAAGTACTTCGTCGGCTGCCGTTACCTCCCCGCTAGCCATAAGCTTCAGCAAGGGGGCTTGCAGGCCTCCGGGAACTCCTCAAGAGGGCGGGGGTCACTGCTGCAACAGGCAAATTAATCAGCTTTATCCTACCCGGATGAGCTCTGCAGTGTAGAGCGACAAGAAGGGGTCGGGACTTTTTTGGCGCTCGTCAAAGGGCGTTGAAAAGGGCGGGCTCGGGTCCCTAGCTCACCATTTAGGAGCCGGGCAGAAGGGAGAGGCGGGGCCGGGGTGAGGCCGACCAGGGGCGGGGCCCAGGTAAACCGTGGGTGGTTCCGCCTACCCTCGCTTCTCCCCAGTAGAAAGCCAGAGAAGCAACTGGGATTGTTGAGGTATCAAATAAGCGTCGCCTCCAGGCCCCGGGGAGGGGCACAATGAGCCAATCGGCAGAGGCGGTGGGCGGGCAAAAGCGACAGGCGGTGCGGCGGAGGCGGAACGGGTGCTGCGGCAGGAGGGAAGATGGCGGACGAGGAGAAGCTACCATCCGGCTGGGAGAAGCGCATGAGCCGCAGCTCAGGTGCCGCGGGGGTCGGGGCTGGGGCTGGGGCTGGGGCTGGGGCGGGGCTGCGCGAGCCCAGGAAGTAGTGCTCGAACTCTCACCTGGGACACGGCGCCACGGCCGCCTTTCTCTCGTGGCCTCTTGGCTCTTGCACGTTGTACCCAGGGTAGCAGCTCCGGCCCGCCCTGTGCGGGCTGTGATCCCCAGGAGCCGGGACCCGAGGAAACTGAGACAGGGGCGGGTTGAGTTAGGGGCTGAGAAACTGCAGCACTCCCCCAGGGCATGCTGATATCTCTTGGCCTAATGCACCTGATGTCCTGGGGAATTCTGCACTCCGCTGGGGCGGGAGGGGGGCGGGGGAGGACCTGGGAGGAGGACACCACAATACCCTGCGATCGGCTGGTGTGGGCTGGTGCCCACAACTTAAACCCGGCTGACACCCTTACTACTGAGTCTGCGATATCCGAGGTGATATTCTGAGGTCGGCCCCTGTGCTTGGAGTCTGATACAGAGGTTTGCCCCATAATGACCGTGCACGTTTATATCGTTCCCAGCGTCGTGCCATGCACTTTAAGTGTAAGTTCTCTCTCTCTCTCTCTCTGAAGTGCCACAGTTCTTGTGCAGTAGTTACTACTATCATCTTACAGGTGAGGAAAATCTGAGGCCAGGACACTGAAGGAATTCATCCATAATCAGGCAGTTTCAAGAGTTGAGGCCTTTTCCCCTGTGTCCCTACCAATGCCTGAGAAGCAGGCCCGGCATCTTTGGGTAGATCCAGGGTCATTCTGCTGCCTCCTCCACAACCCATAGTTATCATAGTCGCAGTAATAATTCATTTTTACTGAGCGCCCACTGCTTCATACATTGACTGTTTCCGTCAGCACCATGAGTATTGATGTCCTTATTCTCTGGGCTCTCATCATTTTTTTTTTTTTTTTTTTTTTTTGTACGGGGGATCGAACTCAGGACCTTGTGCTTTTGAGTCAGGCGGCAGAACAACTGAGCTGAATCCCCGGCAGGGCTCTCATTTTGCAGATGAGAAAACTGAGGTTCAGGGAGATGGAGCCCGTTGCTGAGGCTCTAGATTCAGTGGCTCAGCAGGATTTGCTCCCAGAATCCATGCATTTGCCTAACCTGCCCCAGGCCTGAACTGTAACTGTGACCTTCAACATAACCCTGACACTGCAAAGCTCTGGGGGCATTTTCTGCTCACAGGAACCTAGCAGTTTCTTCATGGGTGACACCCACACCTTCATGGTGCTAGGTCCCCGATGCAGCCCAGCCTCTCACCTCTTGGAATGATACACAGAATCTTCAGGGTTCTTCAAGCTTCCTGTATGCTTCTCACTGCCTGGGGGATACCAGGCCTCCAGCAATACTGCTTCCTAGCTCTGCAACACAGGACGCTGGGTAGGGGTCAAGAGCAGAGCTTTTGGGTGTGGCACAACTGAGTTGGTCCCTGACTTCCTAAGGAGCACAGAGTAAATGCACAGCAATTGTTGCCCATTACAGCTGTTACCAGAGATGCAGAAGTTGAGGCCTCAGTTTTGTCTTCTGTATAATGGAGATAATAAAAGCTGTCACAGTTGGCCTTCAGTGGTAGAGTGCTTGCCTAGCATTCACAAGGCCCTGGTTTTGATCCCCAGTACCGTGTTTAAAAAGAAAAAAAAAACAAGAGAAAAAGAAATGGGTGTGCCTGGCTGGTGGTGCACACTTATCATCCCAGCTACTCAGGAGGCTGAGGTGGGAGGAGCCCTTGAGCCAAGTTCAAGGCCACTTAGGATAACATAGCAAGTCCTTGTCTCTTAAAAAAAAAAAAAGAAAGAAAGAAAAGCCAGATGTGGTTGTGGTGGCCCATGCCTGTAATCTGAGGCAACTGTGAGCCCAACTTGGGCAATTTAACAACTTAGAGCCTGCCTCAAAAATTGTTTTTTAAGCAAAGGACTGAGGTTGTAGCTCAATTTAGAGCCCTTGAGTTTGATCCCTAGTACCTCAAGAAAAGATTTCTAAAAACCTGTCCCACACAATGTGTGCCAGGCTGGGTGGTAAGCATTTTACAGACCTGTGGACTCAGTCCTCTCAGCAGCCCTCCGGGCAGGTACTGTTCTCTCCATTTTACAGATAAGAAAACTGAGGCCCAGGGAAGTTAGATCCTGCAGAAAGTGACTGAGCCAGATGCAAATCCCGGGGCAGCCTGGCTGCTGAGTTCTTGCCTCTTCCTGTTCCTCTTCCCTTCTTCTCTTCCCTTCCTTGTGGTTGTTCTCCCACAGCCACAGAAGTTATCTGGTCCTCTTGGTTGTTTTTGTTTACCGCCTGTCTGGCTCCACCTAGAACTGTAGCTATATAAGGGCAGGGAGGCCGGGGCTCAGGATCCTGTGGCTGAATGAAGACCTCCCAAGCCAATCCCTTACTGTGGTCCTCTGTCCCGGCCCCTGCTGAACCTCCATTGCCTCCCCCGCAGGCCGCGTGTACTACTTCAACCACATCACCAATGCCAGCCAGTGGGAGCGGCCCAGCGGCACTGGCGGTGGTGGCGGTGGTGGTGGCGGCGGCGGCGGCAATAAAAATGGGCAGGGGGAGCCTGCCAGGGTCCGCTGCTCACACCTGCTCGTCAAGCACAGCCAGTCCCGGCGGCCCTCATCCTGGCGGCAGGAGAAGATCACCCGGACCAAGGAGGAGGCCTTGGAACTGATCAATGGTGAGCAGGGCAGGTAGGGGACAGGGTCTCGGGAGGGGCCATGCAGAAGTCACACCGGGTCCTGCATCCACCACAGCCCACTCAACTGTCACGAGTGGCAGTGGCCAACAGAGAAGTGCCTGTGTGTGGCACAAGCCTGCCCCAAACAGCCACCTCTCTCTCCTGTTCATATCGCCTTTGAGAGTGAGCCGGGAAGGGGCAGAGGACCCCCGCACACCTGGGTATGCACAGCAGCAGTGCCTTGTGAGCCCTGGGACCTCGGGGATGCATGTCACCTCCCTGAGACTCAGTTTTCTCCTCTAGAAAATGGGCATCACGGTCCCCTGCCTCAAGGGCTCCCATGACGTTGGGGGAGGTGAGGCAGTGTGTGGTACTCAGGCAGCTGGGCTGTTCTCAGAGGTGCTGTCACCGAGGGCCTGGGAGACAGGGAGGTAGAGGAGCTGGAGGGAGCACAGAGAAGGACAAGAATGGACCAGGCAGCAGAGCTGACAAGTCAGAGTCAGGTGTGCCCCCGGGAGGGGGCTGAGCCCTGCTCCTTCTGTTCCCCTAGGACAGTGGTGGCGAACTTATGGCACGCTGGTGTTTGTTTTTCTTTTAAGACAGAAGAAGTTAACACATCTTGTTTTTTCTAAACTAAGACCTCAGTATTCAGTATTTAATTCCAGGGTTGGCACTTTGGGATAAATGAGCACGTTTTGGGTTGCACTTTGGCATTCCTCTCTAAAAGGTTCACCAGCACTGGCCTAGGATCTAGAGCAGGGGTGGCCCCCTTTTTTCTTTAAGGCCAGATGGCATCTGTTTTAGGTCTGGTGGGCAACACAACCTCCGTCAGCTCTGCCCTGGAACTCTGAAGCAGGCAAGACGTAAACACATGGATCATGGCCACCGGGTGTCAGTGAAACTTTATAAATTTATCTGTTTTTTGTTTTTTTGGTACCAGGAATTGAACTTGGGTCCTTGCGCTTGCGAGGCAGGCGGCAGAACCACTGAGCTAAATCCCTGGCCCCAACTTTATAAATTTATAAAATTTAGTATATGTGCTGCCAAAGTGAGGACTAAATTTATAAAATTTATAAAATGAGGCAGGTGATTTAGCTCAGTGGTGTTGCCCCTGCCTCGCAAGAGCAAGGTTCTGAGTTCAATCCCTGGTACTGAAAAAAATGAGGCAGGGCTGAGTGCAGGAGTGCATGCCTGTCATTCCAGCTATTCCAGAGGCTGAGGCAGGAGGCTCATGAGTTTGAGCCTAGCCTGGGCAACTTAGGAAGACCTTGTCTCTAAATAAATATAAAGGTCTGAGAATATAGCTCAAGGGTAGAGCATCCCTGGGCTCAATTCTCTTAGAACTGCAAAACAAAAACAACTAAGCAGAATTTGGCCTTCAGGCAGTAGTTGGTACAACCCTGGTCCAGAGCTGTCTGTATGACTGCTGCTACCTACATGTGTTTACTTCCATTTATATATTTATTGATTGATTGACTAATTGTTTTGCTTTTCCTTGGTTCTTTTGAGACAGCATCCCACTGTGTAGTTCAGGCTGGCTTTGAACTCACTATGAAGTCCAGGCTGGGCTCAAACTCACAGCAGTCCTCCTGCCTCAGCCTCCTGAGAGCTGGGACTACAGGTGTGCACCACCATGTCCAGCTACCTCCATTTACACTAATTAAAATAAGAGGAAATTAAGAAGTGGTCCACGAGTCACACTGGTCATTCCTTAGTTGTTTAGAAGTCACATCTGGTGACAGCTACCATCTTGAACAGTGGGGTTGGGAAATGTTTCCATTGTTTCAGAGTCCTGTCAGACAGTGCTGCTGTGTCGAATGTGGTTTCCTCCTCCCAGCCTCTCCCATCAGGAACCCCAGATCCCTACCCGGCTGCTCCTACCGTGCACACCCAGTGTGTGCTCTGGCAGGTCCTGGCTTGGTGGCCTTGGGCAAGTGACTTAACATTCTCTGAGCCTCAGTTCTTTTCAACTGGTTCAAGAGTAATAGGACCTGGCTCCTAGGGGAATGGGGAGCGTAGCATAAACGACAGCATGGAGCATCTGGTACGAGTTATAATTGCTGACCTTCACTGTGATGTTGTTATTAGCACGGGTCCTGGCCAGGAGTGCATTCTTGGTCAGCATTGGCTATTGTTTTGCTGTTACATCATTGGGTGCAGACCTTGCCTGTAAGATGTTACAGACAGGAACACACACACCCATACACACACACACACACACACCCGCACCCCCATCCAGATGGCGTCTGGCACTGTAAGTACCACTTACTGGCTTCCTTTGTCGTGTTAGAGGAAGATACTGAGGCAGCCATGGTGGTGCACACCTGTAATCTCAGCTGCTCAGGAGGCTGAGGCAGGAGGATCAAGAGTTCAAGGCCAGCCTGGGCAACTTAGCAAGACCATGTCTCAAAACACAAAATCAAAAGGGCTTGTGATGTAGCTCAGCTGGTAGGGCCCTTGCCTAGGTGTGTGAGGCCTTGGGTGTGATCTTCAATACCAGAGGGAGGGAGGAGGGCCCTGGGTGTGAGGGGTGGCAGGGAGTGGCAGCAGGAAGCACATGGCCACGAGGGACCCGGAGATGGGCCTGCTAGAGACACCTGGGTGGCTGGGATGTGCACGTGCCTGGAAGGCTCAGAGCCCAGAGCGGGTGATGGTGACGGGCCTGCTGCCCCAGGGGGAGAGGAGGAAGTGGGTGGGAGGAAGCGTGAGATGACCCTAACCCTCCCAGCTCTCGAAGTCTCCGTTCTGAGGCCTCTGGAGCAAGCAGGAGGAAGTGGGTGTCTGGAGATGGAGTTCAGGAGGAGTCGTCTCCACCAGAGGGGCCAGGAAGAGACGAGGCGTGAGAGGGACGTGGCAAAGGCTTGGTTAGGGCAGCCGGGCCAGGGAGGATAAATGGGGTGATGGGGTGATCTGTGCGAGACATCTGGCGGCTGAGGCAGGTGGGGACGGCGAGGGGGCCCAGGTCTGGCCCAGGCAGGTGAGGGGTCTTCCCGAATCTGGGAGGGACAGGTGTGTGGCTGGTGGGGCTGAGCCTGCAGGGGGCCTGGGGGTGCTCCCAGCAGGCCTTGGCCCCACCTTAAGTGGACACAGACCGGGAATGTCAGTGCAGTCCCCCAGCCTGTTCGGGGCACACGGAAGCCCTGGGAGTAAGTGCACCCTGAGGCGCCGTGACTTGAACTCGGGGGTAGCATGGGGTAGAAGTGGGGAGCAGGTTCCAGAGAGATGGAGAAGGCAGAATCAGGGGACGTGAGCATGGGTGAAGCGGGCAGGAAGGAGTGTTCAGGAGAGGTTAGATGGCAGGGCTCCTCTGGGGTCGCACAAGGCCATGCACGTGGCCTCCCTCATTCTGAGCTGTGGTAACTGCATCTGTAGAGCGGGCACAGGGAGCCCGTGAAGATCGAGGACAGTGGGCGCAGTGGCTGGCACTCACTCTCCACATGGCAGTGCTTTCACCCTGGTCCGCTGGCTGTGGGTGGCAGGGACACTGAGGTGGGGCATCTCTGCTGCTACCCGAAGACCCTGCTGGGAGACCTGGGCAGGGACATGGGAGGCCTGGCAGGCCCAGCCGCAGAGCCCTGGTGACCTTGGGCCAGGGCTCCCTGTCCGAGTCCCACAGGCCATCAGGAGGACAGCGAGGTGGCCTGGCCAGGACATCCCTGCCAGGTCAGCGTGCTGAGGGCCAGGCTTGTTTTCTCCCCTTCTGGGCTCCGTCCAGGTGATCAGGAAATGATGATTCGGGCAGCACCTGCCCCAGCTGGCAGGCCATGGGGGCACGTGTCACCAGTGCCCGTGTAGAGCCCTCGCCGTGCCCCGAGGGGACCGGCCGCCTGCACAAACCAGCGCTGCCTGCTTTCTGCGGAAGCTCCTCTGCAGCAGCTGGCCGGCTGTCAGGAACCTGAGCCCTGCGGGTCTGCCAGTGTCCTTGATGAAGGAGGCGGGCCCGGGCCTGGGCCCAGGGTGTGACCTACCATCCTCATAGTCCCTTACCCAGGCACGCGGGTCTGTGGGCTCCTCTGACTGGCATCCCCGAGGTCAGTGCCACCCCTCGGCCTACTTGCCTCAGGCAGGGTGTCTGGGCCCTCCTGTGGGTCCTGGGCCATTAGGGGTGGCAGACCTGGACCCGTCACCCCCTTCCCTGACCAGACCCTGCCCTGCCCTGGGGTCCGGAAGCAGCCTCTGGATCCACTGGGGTAGGCAGGGAGTTTGTCTCTCAGCCTTCTCAGGGCCAGGGCCCACCCTGTTTTTTTCCTCCCTCTCCTTAGTGGTCGTGGTCTGTGAGCTCAGCAGTGGTCACAAAACACACAGACGGAGGGGCGCCCGGACAGTCACAGTTCTGAAGGCCGAAGCCCAAGATCAGGTTCCCGGTGAGACCTCTCTACCTGCTCAAAGAAAGCCACTGTCTCACGGTGTCCTCACATGGCCTTCCTCAGCACCCGTGCAGAGAGAATAGGAAGGAGCTTTGGTGTCTTTTACTGTTTTGTTTTTTTTTCTTTTTGAGATGGTCTCACAATGCAGCCCATTGAACTTCTTTTTTTTTTTTTTTGGTACCGGGGATCGAACTTGGGACTTTGCACTTATGAGGCAGGTGGCAGAACCACTGAGCTAAATCCCCGGCCCTGGCATTGAACTTTTTTTTTTTTTTTTTTGAGACAGGGTCTTGGTTTGTAGTGCAGGCTGTTCTTGAACTCGCTATGTAGCCCAGGGTGGCCTGGAACTCATGGTGATCCTGCTGCTTCAGCCTCCCACGTGCTAACATTACAGGCGTGCAGTATCATGCCCTGCTATTGTATATTTTATTTTGAGAGTCTCACTAAGTTGCCCGAGCTGCCTGGGAACTTGTGATCTTCCTGCCTCACTTCCTAGAGTGCCAGAATTACAAGTGTGCACTACCACACCTGGTGAAGAAAGTTTTTAATACCGCTTCAGGTTCCCGCCAAAGCGGAATGTCTTCTAAGAGCAGGCCGGTCAGAGCCCTGTGAGCTAAGGGGTGTTGTGCACACTGTGGTGTGTGAGAACACCAGGCTGTCCACTGTCAGGGATCCCACAGCCCTGGCAGGCCAGGGCAGCACGTCATGGTTTGTTTTCCGAGGCAGTAGGTGGCCTGGGGTGCTGTAGGTCAGGTGTCCTCAGCTGGTCACTGGCCCACATAGAAGGCACAGGTAGGGAACCTGGAGCTGCATGGCAGAGCCCCCATAGGTACCCAGAAGTCCAGGGAGAGAGAGAGCGGGAGGGGTGACCCAGGCATGCCTGGTCCAGGTCAGTCACTGGTGGAGGAGCCATGTGTGCCCAGGTGCCTGTGCGGCAGCACCAGCTGGATCTCTCGTGGTTTCAGGTGGATCATGGTGGCATTGACTCCTGGCAGGAGACTGAGGCCAGGGGCCCCTGGGCAGTTGGGATCAGCTTGGGGTCAGGCAGACGCCAAGGGGCTGACCGGGCTGGAAGCACTGGTCAGGTCACCCAGCAGTGTCCCTGCAAGGCTCACACAGGTGACTGCTGGCTGTGTCCCTGACCTCTACACCCAGCAGGCATGTTGAGACCCCATGCAGGTCACAGGAGCAGTGGGTGAGGTGTCAGGAGGGTGTCAGCCGCGCTCACGTGGCGAGAGGGGATGGCAGGGACACTGTCGGGGGGTGTGGCAGGACAGGGTGGCTGGCCTGGGTCTGGTTACAGTCTCCTGTCCACCTCGGGGGCTGAGTGGACTTGGGAAGGCGCTGGCGGCTCCCCCCATCTGATCCCTGCGTGCACGGTTACAGTCACTCACACTCGCGTGCACACGCACAGCTCTCCCGCACGCCGCTCCCAAACCCAAGTCGCCCAGGTCCTGGACCTTGGGGCTGGTTTGGGCCACACGGGGCCGATCCACCCAGGGTCCCCCTGCACCTGACTCGCCTGTCGGGGGGGGACCATGCTGCTCTCCTGTGGTGCCGGGTCTCGGGCCTGATGCATGTCCCTGCCACCCAGGCCACTGGGGTCTACTCCCCGTGCCTCCTGCCCTCCACGGCCTGTGGGGACCAGAGGTCGGTTTCCTCTGAACACACGTGTGTCTGGGACAGAGTGACCACGGAGACGGGCGTGGCTGTGAGGGCAGCGTGGGGTCAAGGTGCGCACATCCTACCCTGCCTTCCTTGCCTTGTCCCTCCTGCAGGCTACATCCAGAAGATCAAGTCGGGAGAAGAGGACTTTGAGTCTCTGGCCTCACAGTTCAGCGACTGCAGCTCGGCCAAGGCCAGGGGAGACCTGGGTGCCTTCAGCAGAGGTGGGCAAGGAGTGGACACCACTGCCTCTCACTGTAGCCTCCCTGGGCGAGCGGAGCCCCCGGTCTGCCCTGCTTCCTGCCGCATGGCCTCCAGTGGCCACCAGGTGGCAGCACGGTCCCTCCCTGGGCTTGGAGGAGGCGCTGCTGAGGGCTGCTGGGAGGGGGGGAGAGTCCTCTCCCTTTGCCCCCACCCCCACCGCAGGTCTTGGTCTGTGTGGCTCTGCACTGATGTCCCCATCACGGGCCCAGCAGGGTGGGCCTGTCCTGGGAGTGGTGTCTCCTCCTGATGGGGGGCTCCAGGGTCCCCCAGAGTCTGCCTCTGCACCCTCAAACATGGGGAAAGGGTGGGAGGAGGCAGATCAGGTGGGCCGCCCTGACTTTAGGCAAGTCTGGCCAGGGTGGAGGAAATTGGGAAGCCAAGGTGACCCTCTGCTCTCCCCGACCCCCATCCTTGGGACCTGCTGGGGCCAGGCAGCTGCTGTGGAAGGGGAGCCAGGAAGGAGGCCCAGGGGACAGTTGATGGCCCCGGTGGGACCAGGGAGAGGAGTTCGTCGCCAAAACGCACCTCCAAGTGCACAGGTGGCACTGGTGCAGCCGCCCAGCCGCCATCCCTCATGCTGTCCTCGAGCTTCCCGGGGCCTCCTTAATGGCCCTGCGGCCCCCAGGTGCGGCAGAGCCGGTGACAGGGCCATAAACTCAGTGATAGACGAGCTGGCCAGGCGCAGGCGGGAGCCCTATCTGCCGCCTCTGCCACAGCCACCAACCACGCTTACGCCTCCCTTCGTCCCTCCTGTCCCCAGGTCAGATGCAGAAGCCATTTGAAGATGCCTCGTTTGCGCTGCGGACAGGGGAGATGAGCGGCCCGGTGTTCACGGACTCAGGCATCCATATCATCCTGCGCACGGAGTGAGGGCGGCAGTGCCCCCGCCGCCGCCGCCACAGTATTTATTGTCCCCAAAAGGCTGAGGGAGGGGCTTGTGGAGAGGTCTCCACTCTGACCTCCCGAAGTTGGGGCTGCCCCGCCAGACCCCCTTGAGTTCAGAAGAGCCGTGGGGTGGGGAGGCCCCCAGACCCAGGGGATGGCGGGTGGCCAGTGGCCCCTGGGCCCAGAGGCGGACACCAGGGCCCACATGCAGTCACAAAAGCCAAGGGTTGCTCAGTGCCCAGGCCGGCTGGCTGCAGGCCCAGGTTTGGCAGCCAAGCAGCAGCGCCCTTTGGCTCCTCATTAAACCTGGAACCACTGCTCTGCTGGCCTGTGTCTCATTTCTACCTGGTGAGGCAAGGGGGCACCATTGTGAGGGTTTCAGGGGCCACCACCCCAGGTGCCTGGGTGACAATCCTGGTCCTCCTGTCCCAAGCTTCCCTTCTTCTGGGCCTGGGGGTCCTGGGGGTGATTCTTCCCAGCGGCGTCCACCAGTGTGCAAAGATGCAGGGGTGGGGGGAGAGCCTGGCTCCATCCCTGGTGCTGTGCGCCACCCCCCACATATGGGCCCCACTGCCATTACAATGAATTACACCCGCTGCTCTGATGCCCAAGGCCCTGCCACCGTGGGAGCTCCCAGCAGCCCAACTACCGATGCTGTTACCATGGCAACAGACCCCCAGCATGGAGGGGAGGGGGCTACTGCTGGGCACCACTGAGAGCAGGGATCCCTGTGAAGGGGCTGGGTGCAGCTTGGGGCCTCTGTTGGGGAGTGGAGGGATCCCTGGGTAGGTGAGGAGGAGGCAGGCTCTCCTTCCACCTCTGAGTAGGGGTCCCCTGCCAGGATCTGTGGCTGCAGGTGTGGCCCACCTGCCCCTGCCCTACTCCCTCCCCACAGGCAGACTGCCTGTGCCAGGGCTTGGGCTGGGGGCTCAGGATTCGGGCAGGGCTTCTGGATCCTCAGTGGAGGTGTGGTTACGCCTTTCTGCCCACCCGCCCCTTGATGGTGATCAGCCTGGATAGTGGTGGTGGCCACAGCTGGCAGGGCTTGGAGATCGGAACAAAATGAAGCTGGGCTCCCCAGGGGCACCCCACCCCTACCCCCAGAGCCCTGCCTCTGGAATGGTCACTTGAGCCTACGCCCATCTGCCTTGTGCTGCCCGCTGGGGAGCGTTTTTCATTAGGAAGCTTTAATGAGTTTCCTCCCAGCCCTGGCTGGGTTGGCCACACTTCCTGGCCGCCTCATTCTTAAGTTGCTCTGGGGCCCCTCGAGGTGGGCAGGCAGCCACTCCCCCACCCTCACCTCCAGCAACAGTTGAGGGACCTGGGGAGGCTACTGCATCCTGACCCCTAACTCTGGCACCCCAGCTGGGTCTGAAATACCACCAGGGAGGGGCCGGCAGAGCACCAGGCCCTGTGGCACTGTCACCTTGGGCATCCACTGCGCCTGTGTGTTTGCGCCCCCATGTCTGTCTGTCTGTCCTGTGCAATGCTGGGGTCTCCTGTCGCCATGGACCTCAGGCCCACACCCCCCACCCCACCCCCGTCTTTCTGAGCGGAGGCTGGAGCCTAGGTGAGTCGTGTCAGATAAATGCACCCTGGAGCCCACTCTGTCCTGGTGATTTATTATTAAGGAGCTGTGGCTTCCCTCACCTGCCCCACACTCCCCCCTCCTGGAACTGAGTTAGGCCGTAATTTACATCCCACACCTTAGGGTGGTGGCAGCGCCGAGTTCCCGTTAGGGAAGGAACCCAGGGCCTTACACACGCCAGGCAAGCCTGGACTGCTGAGCTATATCCGCGGCTCCCCCGGACTTACGTCACAGGTGCCCCCAAACCAGACCTGGCCCCCGCCATGTGCATTGGCGCCGACTTCTGTGGGCGACTCAGGGCAGCGGGTTACTGCATGGGACTGAGCTGCAGCTTCTGGTCGTGGCCACATGCAGGTCTGAGAAGAGGGAGGAGCTGAAGTTTGAGAGGCCGTCTAAGACAGACCGACGGACACGCAGAGAACCTGGCCTGGGGAGGGCAGTGTCATACCTGGGGCTCATCCTTCGCTGAAACCAAAGTCACAGGGAGAGCTGAGCCTGTGTGAGTGATGCAGTCAGTGGTCCCAGATACACACTTGCTGCCCATGTGTGTGCGACACGGGATGGAACCCAGGGCCTTTGCACTGAGCTACATCGCCAGGCCTTTTACATTTTTTGTCTTGAGACAGGGTCTCTAAGTCACTAAGTAGCCCTGGCTGGGCCGGAACTCACAGCAGCACTCCTGCCTCAGCCTCCCAGAGTGCTGGGATGGCAGGCGTGCGCCTCCAGTTTTTGTTCATTTGTTTAGCAGGTGCACAGCAAAGGCCTCTCCCTGAGCTAATCCAGAAATCCATCTTGTTTCACGTCACACTTGCTCATTTAAATGGAAATTAATTGCTCTTCGGGAGGACTTCTTTAAAATTGGTTTTAAATGAGTGCATTAGACAGCCCCATTTATTATTCATGGGTTTCAGTCCCAGTATGGCCTGGGTGTCCAAGCTCCCCGGAGATGCCTGCCCAAAGCGGAGATGATTTAATCAGGGAGCCCATTAATTAGAGATGGGAGGGGTGTGGGCCACCCCAGTCCAGCAAGGCGATGCGTCGGCTCTGTGCCCTCCCGCCTCGCTGCAGTCCAGCAGGTGGATCCGGCTGACCGCCTTCCTCTCAGTCTTCACTTCTGTCTGCCTGGGCTTCTTCAAGAGCTGCAGTCCTCTTCAGAGCTGTCTCTACCCAAGCCCCTTCCAAGGAAAAGGGTCCACATCTGTCGTCCTAGCACTCTGGCAGGCTGAGGCAGGAGGATCTCAGGTCGAAGCCCAACCTGGGCAATGTAGCAAGACCTTGTCTCAAAATGAAAAGGGCTGTTCGTAGGGGCCGGGGATTTAGCTCAGTGGTTTCGCTGCCTACAGTGCAAGTGCAAGGACCCAAGTTCGATCCCCGGTACCGAAAAAAAAAAAAAAAGGGCTGTGCTTATAGCTCAGTGCAAAGGCCCTGGGATCGGTCACCCCATCACACACTCACACCAATAAAGGGGGGGCTCCAGGTGTGGGGTGTGGTGAGTTCACCTAACCCAGGCCAAGTGTACCTTCAGGCTGTTTCAAAATTCCTGTTACTAACTCAGATCAGACATGACTCAGTGAAAAAAAACAACAATTTTTGAAATCACAAAGCAAAAAGAGAAGAAAGGGTAAATTTGGTGCACACACAACGCACATACCCCCCTCCACCAGGGCTCGCCCTGGGAAGGGGCACTTGGACTCCACCCCCAGCCACCCAGCCCACCGAACTGGGAATCATGGGACAAGGGCTCTGCAGAGACCGGCCCCACCCACCACCTGTGCCTCCTGCTCGGCCACCGATACACACAGCCACGGAAGCATCAAATGTCAAAGGTCCATTTATTCTGGCAACCCAGAAAGAAAACATGGAAATAAAAAAGAAAGATCCATGCAGTCAACTCCAGGAGGAGGGGTGGGGAGGGAGGGGTGGGGTCCGGTGGGAAGTAGGGAGAAGGAGAGAGAGAGGAGGACTGGAGGTTCAGATCAATAAAAAGCTGGGCGTAGTGGCCACACCTGTGATCCCAGCACTCTGGGAGGCTGAGGCAGGAGGACCTCAAATTCGAACCCAGCCTGGGAAAATGAGCAATTTAGTCAGACCGTGTCTCAAAAAAAGACCTGGGGATATAGCTCAGTGCAAGGGCCCTGGTACCACAAAAAGTAATTAAAAAACCGGGACATCAATAAAGACAGAAAGACCAAGAAGGAGGAGAGACATGACAGAAAATGCAGGGATAGAAACAGAAGGGCATAGGACTGGGGATTTAGCTCAGTGGTTCCGGGCCGGCCTCGAAAGCGCAAGGTCCCAAGTTCGATCCCCAGTACCAAAAAAAAAAAAGAAAAAGAAATAGAAGGGCAGAGAACAAAAGCTGGGCAGAGGTGGGGAGGGAAAAAGAAGGAGGGAGAAGGGGCCACAGAGAGACCGGAAGGGACACAGGCGGCAAGGGACGGGCCCCCAGCAGCCTGAGCTGCCGCGGAGACACCTAGGGGTCCCCTGCGGTGCTGATGACGTGGAAGAGGGTGACATTGTACAGCACCTGGTGGCCGTTGTTCCAGGTGTACAGGGCCCGCTCGCGGGGGTTGTAATCCAGCATGGAGATGTGTGAGTACTGGTTGTGGAAGGGCACGTCCGTGTACTCGTAGCTGGACGTGTTGGTGAAGTAGGCGAAGTAGACCTTGGCCCCCGCCAGGTGGGAGTTGGTGACATAGAGGACACCGCAGATCATGAAGGCCTCACCTGCACTGCGCTTGGGGTACCCGGTGTCCCAGGACCTCATGACCTCCAGGGAGTGCGGGTCCAGCCGGCTGACCACGATGTTGCCCGCGTTCTGGTTGGTGGTGTAGACGGCCCAGAGCCCACTCTCGTCTACCATGAAGTCCATGTCGGAGAAGCCGCCCCAGGAGTAGGGGAAGGTGTTGTTGTAGCCGGCGCCCGGAAGGCTCCGCTGCACCAGCACCGAGCGGGAGCGGAAGTGGTACTTGACCACCACATTGCTCTGGTACTTGTTGTAGAACAGCGAGCCGTTGTACACCACGTGGCCCGTGCCTGCCCAGGGCTGTGGCAGCAGGTGCTGGATAAAGTTCTGGCCTTTGATGAAATCGCCCAGGGTGCGGAACTCCAGGACCCGCCGGCCCTTGTAGTAGCCATCCATGTACCAGACCTACGGAAGCAGCCGAGGGTCACTGCAAGGATCCAGGGGACCCAGGACTCATTCAGGAGTCAAGCCCAGTCACGGAGGGTCAGCGGTCACTAACGTGGGCACTACTCAGTCAGAGGCCTTCCTTGAGCACCATGGCAGCCACTCAAGGCCAAACAGACATGGCGACCACGAGTGCTGTTGGTCTCACAACAGACACCAAGTGGGTGGCACTTGGTCCTGACGGATAGGGGAAATTGTACTCCTGGGGGATTCCTGGGCCTAAGAATCCCCGAGAAATTGGACTGGACACTGGCTGGTTAGTGGTCACTGGACAGGCACTGGGTGACAAGAGACCACTTGTCATTGCTGTGGGTGACCCCTGTGACCACTAGGTAACTAGGCACGTTGTCATCTCTTCCACCATCTTCATCATGGTTGTCATGTTAAGTAGCACTTAGGAGTACCATTATTATTATTATTATTGTACCGGGGATTGAACCCAGGGCTTTGGCACTGAGCTACATCCCCAGCCCTGTCTTTTATTTATTTATTTATTTACTTACTTACTTTATTTTTGAGACAAAGCCTCACTAAGTTGCTCAGGCTGGGCTCAAACTCACAATCCTCCTGCCTCAGCCTCCCAGAGTGCTGGGATTGCAGGCATGCACCACCACCCTGCCCAACTGAGTACCCTTGCTACTGAAGTAAAAATCCAAGAACGTCAGTGCTGACGTCTCGACCATGGAGACAAAGATATTAAGGACCCTGCCCAAGGCTCCCTGGCTAGGAAGTGGTGGGCAGGGATGCATGTCCAAGTGTGGTTTCCAACCCAACCGATTAGTTGAACCACCATGATCCATGGGAGGCCAGCAACACGGTGGACTGGTGGTGAGACACTTGGTGGCCACCCAGGCACCAACAGTCCCTAGGAAGGTCGCTGTTATAGGATGGTCACGGGGCAGTTTGTGATTGGTTCTTGTAGGTTTAGGTAATGGGCAATCCTCACTCCAGTAGGAGTCCAAGGTTCCTCACCGGGCAGTGCTTGGAGTCGGATTCTTAGGAAAGCACTGGCAACTAGTTTTTCAGGGATCAGCGGTCACTGGGAGGTGGCAGTAGTGAGCCGCGTGCTACATGACACACAGGCTAGGGCACATTTACAGTGGTTCTCTAACATCATATCGCCTGGCAACACCATCACCATCTTAGTTTGTATTCTGTGACAGTACCGCCATGCGACGGCCTGACTCATTTCTCAGAAGACGTCCTTGTCGTTAGGGACCATCCAGTAACCATTCTCCACTCAGTCATTGGAGGCCACTGGACTTTGGGATCCACAGGGCTAGAGGGTCCCCAGTCACCTGTTGGTCACTAGACAGTCAAGGGAGTGTCCGAGGGCTGTGGGGACCCAGGACAATCCTCGGGCCCCTATGAGCACACACAGCCACCCCCTTCCCAGCTCTGACCTGTGTGTGAGGGCCGACGTCACTCACCCGGCTGTCCGCACTGGGGGCCATCGTGTCGGTCATCCAGGAGCCGAAGCGGGACCCCATGGCCCGGATGGTGATGGGGTTGCTGACCCCGGTCAGCTTGCCACATCCTGGGAGGCAGAAAGAGGCGATGGGGTAAGGGATGGGACCAGCGGTGAGGGAGGAGGGAGAAATCTACCCCAGTAGAGAGTCAGGGCAGGGAGGGAGGGTTTTGAGTTAGGGGTCAATGTTACTCCCAGCCCTGGAGACTCGGTTTGGTTGGGGGTAGAGGCCAAGGGTGGAGGTTTAGACAGGAGAGGTCAAAACAGTCAGGTGGTGCAGGGCTGGCTGAGGAGGTCAGGGCTCAGGTCGGGCATACCCAGCTTCTGGGCGCAGGCGTGGAGCCGGGCCTCCAGGGCCATGACGCGCTGCTGCAGGTCCTCATAGCCGAAGGCACCCATCTCCTCCTGGATGGTGGCAAGGCTGCCTGAGAGGTTCCGCACCTCCTCCCGAAGCCGCACGATGGTCCGTGTGTCGGTCTTGTACTGTTCCAGCACCGAGCTCAGGGGCAGCAGCTCCGTCATCCTGTCCTTCAGCTCCTACCCACCAAGGCAGATCCCAACTGCCGAGCCTGACCTGCCTCAGCCTCCCCAGTGCTAGGGTGATAGGCATACACCACCACTCCCAGCTTCACCATTATCGCCAATGAACGCTCAACACATGACATTTGGCCACACTGGACCCCAGATCCCAGCCAGCCCTGAGCTAGCTGATCCGCCCCTGACCTCGGGAAGTCCCACCTGGAAGCTCTTGGCCGAGAGGGAGCCATCGGCTGCCCGGAGCCTGGCGTCCAGGCTGCGCATGAGGGTCTCCATGCTGCGCACGTACTGCAGGTCACGGTAGGTCCGTAGCTCGAGGACTTCCATGGACTGGGACACGTTCTGGACCTGAGGCAGGCACAACTGAGACCAAAACTCCTTGTCCCACCCACAGCCAGAGATGCCACAGGCGAGGCCCAAGGCAGCACAGATTCCCGAACACCCTCGACCTCACCATCAGCCGCCCGGCAGCTTGCCCGGGCCACCCATGGCCCTGTCCCCTGCCTCCACCCGGTGTGGACCCCACCACCTGTTCCCTGCTCCTTGTCCTCATGGCAGCCGGAGGGAGCGATCCAAAATAAGGATCAGACAGATTCTCTGCAGAGCCCGTGAGGGCTGCTTCTGCTTCCTCACCGCTTCCTGCCTGCCATGGTTACTGCTCCAACCGTCAGTCAGTTCTCCCCGCACCAGGCCCCGCCCCTCCACGGGGCGCTTTACTTCTATCCCTCTACCTGGAGCTCTGTTCCCCTCATCTTCCCATGGCTGCCCCACCTGTCCCCCAAGTCGGCAACAGTACCACCCTCACTCCACTTACCCAGGAACCTCCTTCCCTGCCTGGATTATTATCCAGAACAGCCTTTGCTCCCTCCCGCCCCTGGTCTGGGGAATTGAACCCAGGGCCTTGGCACTGAGCTACATGTGCAGTCCTTTTAAAAATTCATTTATTCATTTATTGTACCGGGGATCGAACTCGGGACCTTGCACTTGCAAGGCAGGCACCGGAACCACTGAGCTAAATCCCCGGCACCCTTTTACTTTTTATTTTGAGACAGGGTCTCACTAAGTTGCCCTGGTGTGACTAGAACTTGAGATCTTTCTGCCTCAGCCTCCCAGAGCGCTGGGATTACAGATGTGCAGAACCATGTCTGGCTAGGAGAAAGTGTCTTTCCACGATCCTCTAGAGGCAGAGGGACACAGAGTGCTGCCAGGTGAGTGCGCTGAAGGCTGACACTGGCTCACACGCAAGAGACCCAGATGCTGCTCCTGGCATCTTCCACCTTCTCGCCCCAAGCCCTTGGCCCAGAGGTGCTGAGCAGATGCTGAGTTAAAATATCCACCCAGACCTGGGGATGCGGCTCCACGGTGAGTGCTTGCTTAACCTGCAGGAGGCCCTGGATTCCCTCCCCAGCGTCATTAAAGAAAAAGAAAAAAAGAAAGAGAAGAGCCCTGTTCTCAGGCAGCTCTGCACAGCGCACGCAGCTGGAGGGGCTGGGCTGAGCTGCCTGCAGAGGTCCTTACCTTCTCCATCAGCTGCCGCAGTTCCCGGCTCCGGCCGTCCCGGGAACAGGTGCTCTGTGCCGGGATCACGGCGGTGCACACGCATTTGCCGTCAGGGGCCTGGGCCGAGGTGTACAGCTGCCAGCCCTCCTCGGGGCTCTGGAAGAGAGTCTGCGAGAGGCGGGGTCAGGAGCCAGAACCTTGCAGAGGACTCCCCTCCAGCTTTTGTTTTGTTGAGACAGGGTTACCCTATGCAGTCCAGGCTGGCCTTAAACTCACTATGTAGCCCAGGCTGGCCTCGAACTCAAGAAGATCCTCCTGCCTCAGCCTCCTGAGTGCTGAGATGACACATGTGTGCCACCATGCCTGGCTTGCCTTGATCTTGCTGGAGAGAAAAGAGGCCCCTGGAGGTGACAGACACCCTTCCCCAGATGCCTGGAGAAGTTACAAATCAGATAGTCAGGCCCCAACAAGTGGGATCATGATTATTCCTCAGGGAGCCCATTTCACAGATGTGAGGCACAAAAGGGTTGATTCTCAACAAGGGAATTGGGGGGGGGGGGTTAAGCTCTTCTGCAAGCCAGGAATTCATTCTCTCTCACATATACACGAGTACACATACACTCCTACCTCCATAACCACACTTAGAAGCTGGCCATGGTGGCGCACACCTGTCATCCCAGCATTTGGGAGGCTAAGGCAGGAGGATCTTCGAGAGATCGAGGCCAGCCTGGGCTACATAACAAGACCCTGTCTCAAAAAATAGTTGTTCTACTGTATTGTCTAGGGAACAATGCCAAGAAGAGAGTCTTACGCCTTCAGGACAGACGCCTTGTTTTCTTTCATAAATATTTTCAATGGGCATCGGTTGCCTCAGTGGACCTGGAATGTGCAGACGCTCAGTGGGTGGAGTGGGGTGCGGCGTCCCCCAGTCAGCCTGGAGCTTCCTTAGAACACAGGTCCTGATTTGTTTGTTTGGTTTTTGGTATTGGGGGTAGAATCCAGGGATGCTCCACCATGGAGCTACACCCTAGCTCTTTTTATTTTGAGATGGGGTATTGCTAAATTGCCCAGGCTGGCCTCAACCTTGTGATCCTCCTGTCTCAGCCTCCTGCCTAGCTGGGATTCCAAACGTGCGCCACCATGCCTGGCATCCCCATCTCTTCTCCTTTCTCCCTGGCACCTCTTTCTGTCTTGATACCAGTGAACGAATCCAGGTCCTTTGCCCTGATCTACATCCCAGCTCTTTTTATTTTTAATTTTTATTTTGCTGAGCTGCCCAGCACAGCCTCCAACTTGCCATCTTCCTGCCTCAGGCTCTCAAACCACTGGCATGACAGATGTGTGCCATTGAACCTGTCGTCCCGGTCCTTTTATTGGGCACAATGGTCTCATCGGGTGCACAAATATTTGTTAAGCTCCTACTGCATGTCAGCTGTGAACAATACACACACATGCATGCACACGCACAAGCCCCTCTGGGAGTTTTGTTAAAGTGGAAGGAAACACAGAAATCAGAAAGTATCAAGCATATTTAACCGTAAGAGACTAAAATGGAGAAGGGCTGGGAGGATGTGGGGGCACCCGAGGTGCAACTGTAGCTGTCATCTGAGCAAAGAGGGGAAGAGACTGAGGGAGCAACCAGGGGAACAGCACATGCAAAGGCCCTGAGGCCTGGCCTGTTTGGGAAACCTGCAGGAGCCCTGTCCAGCTGGAGCGGGGTGAGTGGGAGAGTGGTGGGAGACAGTGGAAGGCAGGCACTCTGGCACCCACTGCATGTCCTGGCTTCTGCTCTGGGTGAGGTGGGAGCTATGGAGGGTCCTAGAGACAGAGGGATATGCTCTCGAGCTTAAATGCTCAGAATGACCTCTGGCTGCTGTAGGGCAAAAGGGAGGGACGCTAAGGCAACAGTGACCACATGGGTCCAGGCAAGCAAAGGTGAGTAGTGGCCACTGAGAAGGGAAATAAAAAAATTTTTTGAGACAGGGTCTCACTATGTAGCCCAGGCTGGCCTGAAACTCACTCACAGCGATCCTCCTGCCTCAATCTCCTGAGTGCTAGGATTACTGTGGCACCACACCCAATTTAGGCTTGAATTTGAGTTCCATCTTCCCAGAGAGCTGGGATGACAGGTGTGTCCCACTGCACTCAACTGGGAAATGGAAAATGCTGGTCTTCTCCGGAATGCCTTCTTACAGGCAAGCAAGAAATTCTGATAAAACCACAAGTGTTTTACAGAGAGACAAAACACCACACACCACAGAAACTGATCACTGTGCAGTCAACACTGACACCGCCGAGCCCAGCAGAGATCAGCCCGGCTGGGGCTACGAGCAGGCCCGGGGCTCCTGCCCTCACCCCACCTTTTCTTCTCCCACTCAGTAAAGCCTTTTTTTTTAAGCTTAATGCAATGTGAGCAAATGACATAATTGCACCAATGAGCTCGACTCCCGTGCTACTTATAAGGAAAAGAAACCATTTGTAAAGAGCTTGGAAACTACTGTAATGAATCATGCTGTGTGCCTTGACATCCGCCTAATTGGGGGAACCCCCTCTTTATCAGTCTGCGCCCCCTCTGTTCTCAGCCCTGCCTTCGCCCAGATGTGAGCAGCGTGAAGCCGACTTCTATGCAGAAGCCCCTGGGGTCCCCACTGAGGGGGTGTCCTCAGGGTTCAGGGCCCACCCAGCATCCAGGCTGGGTAAGGACCAGGCCTAGGGCCCCTCCTTTGCACAGACCTTATGCATAGCCTCCCACAGAATTTATTTTTATTTAAAAAAAATTTTTTTTGAGACAGGGTCTTGCTATGGAGTTCAGGTTGGCCTTGAACTCACTATGTTCTGGCCTCAAAATCACAGCGATCCTCCTGCTTCAGCCTACCAAGAGCTGGGATTACAGGCATGCGCCACCACACCTGGTTCTCCCATAGACTTTTGTTTCTACAGGACTTGTAATTACTACCTGATACAACATAAATGCTATATTGCAAGAGTTGTTAGACTGTATTGTTTAGGGAATCATGCCAAGAAACAAAGTTTGAGCCTGATGCACTGCTGCCTGCCTGTAATCTTGGATACTTGGGAGGCTGAGGCAGGAGGATCGAACCTTGGAGCTCAGCCTGGGCAATTTAGTGAGGGCCTTGACTCAAAGTAAAATAAAAGAGCTGGGAATGTAGCTCAGTGGTAAAATGCTTACCTACTGTGCATGAAGCCCTGGGTTCAATCCCTCAAAAGTCTGATACTGCAGTACAGATTTAATTTTTCCCCAATGTTTTCTTTTTGTTTTTGTTACCGGGGATAGAACTTGGGTCCTCGTGCTTTCAAGGCAGGCGGTGGAACCATTGAGCTAAATCCTCTGCCCTTCCCCAATATTTTCAATCTGTGGATGCCTGAGTAGGCAACTACAGAACCTCTGTGTCCTAAGGATTGAACCCAGAGCTTTCACACTGAGCTAAATCCTCAGCCCATACATTTTTATTTTTAATTTCTTTTTGGTACTGGAGATTGAATTTGGAACCTTGCACTTGCAAGGCAGGCGGCGGAACCACTGACCTAAATCCCCGGCCCTTTATTTTTAATTTTGAGCAGAGTCTTGCTTAGTCACTAAGTTGCCCAGGCTGGGCTCGAACCTGCAGTCCTCCTGCCTCGGCCTCCCAGACTGGTGGGATCACAGCCATGTACCACGGCACCCATCCAGAACCTGTGTTCAATCTTCCCCTGCAAAGCCCCACCTAAGACAGAAAGATGGGCCCCCAACGCCTGGCCCTTGGCTCTGGAAGAATGTAGAATTAGCTTCGCTTCCTTTCAGGATGAATCCAATTCTATAAACCAACACAAAGCCAAACAATGAACAGGAGCCTGAGTGCCCTTCCTGTCCCTCCCTGGCTCCAATCCCCAAGCAATTAGGACAAAAACTCCCTCCCCCAAAGACTCTGATTTGTGCAAAAACAAATCAGCATGGTTCAACATAATTAACATCCCCTCCCTGCTTTTCCTTCCATGTCCTTTAAGGCAAACAAGGTCTTTTCTCTCCTCGGAGGAAATATTGAATTGTAAAAGAGAAGCAACATTTAAGTGGCTGGAAGAAAAGGCCTCCGTGGCTTTCCTAAAATAATTGTCTGTGTCAGTCGCACCTCGCAGAGCGTTCTCTGCAGCAGTGTAATTAAATGCCTGGGGTTTGGCTGCCAGCTCTCAGCCACTCAGAGCCCCAGTTTTGCCCTGAGGGCTTGAGTTCAAATATGCAGTCAAGTTCCTGTCCCTAGAAGCCACTGGAATGTCTTGGAAGGCTTTTTGATTTTTTTGATTTTGTTTTGCTTTTTGTTTTTGTTATTTGAGACAGGCTCTCCCTGTGTATTCCTGGCTGGCCTTGAATTCACTGTATAGACCACGCAGCCTTGAACTCAAGGCAATCCTCCTGCCTCAGCCTCTTGCAATGTGCCACACCTGGCTCAATTTTAAAAAAATGGTACTAGGGATCAAATGTAGGGGTCCATGCATACTAGGCAAACACTCTACCACTGAGCTATATTCCTAGTCTTTTGTATTTTTTTTATTCAGAGACAGGATCTCATTAAATTGCCCAGCTGGGCTCAAACTCCTGCCTCAGCCTCCTGAGTAGCTGGGATTATAGGGGTGTGCTATCACACCCAACAAGACTTTATGTTTTTGAGTCCAAATGCCATTTCTCCTACAATGGGTCTAGCTTGGAACCAAAATCACAAACTCAGGCAGTCATGATGATGCACACCTGCAATGTCAGCACCTGGGAGGCTGTGGCAGGAGGATCTCCTAGTGCAATGGTGGCAAACCTATGGCATACATGTTATTTTCTTTTTAGATGAAGGATATTAATGTATGAATTCTTTTTTTCTAAACTAAAACCTAAGTATTCAGGTTTAACTCCAGGGTTGGCACTTTTTGATAAGTAAATGGGTTTTGGGTTGCAGTTTGGACACTTGTCTCTAAAAGGGTCGCCATCACTGGCCTAGAGTTTGAGGCCAGCTGGGCTACACAGTGAGACCGTCTCTCAAAAGAAAAAAGGGAATCTCTGATGTCCAGCCTGACTCACCTCGAATGGGGCAAATGTGCAGGAGAAATCCGCCCGCTCTCTTTTGCTGGGCTCTGGCTCCAGGTTTAATATCCCGGCTAATGGGCTCTAAGAGCCCGAGCCCTGTGCGCCAGGAGCAGCTCCTCAAATCGCCTTCTTTGCCTGGGAATCTTCAAGTCCTTTCACCCAAGCTGCTGCCCTAATTAAGCACCAGATTGCACGGCAGGCCAGGGATTAAATAGGACTGAGGTGCAAAGTTCGCAGCAGAAGCAGCAGCTCTTGAAGTTCTGCCGCCTACATCTGGGCTCCTAAGAAGCCAGGCAGGGCTGGGGCGCAGCTCGGTGGAGATCACAGGCCCAGGGCTGCAGGTACCCGGGTTCAGTTCCTGGCATGGCTTCCTGGGGTCTGAGATCATCACGGGGCTGTCCCCCCCAGCCCTGGCTCTCAGGGGTTTGGCCAGCAGAAGAGTGCAAGCAGCTGCCTCTTAATGAAATGAGGCTATTACTATGTTTGAAGCTGGATAATTCAATCAGGAAGCCAAGGTGGTTTGGGGCTTATGTATTTATTTGTACCCTGCCTTTTCCAGAGAAGCAGCTAAGTGGTTTACAAGGATATGTAAAATACCACAAGATAGCTCCACTTAAATCTGAGCAGAGTATTAGACATTTCTAGAGGGCAGCCTGCCAAGCCCTGGCGGCAAAAGTTGCGTTTCACCCCGCCTGGTGTGGGAGTCGGATGGACAAGTGCTAGACAGCTGCATGGACGCTCCTGAGAACACTGCTTACAATGGAGGCCTGGGTTTGTCTCCCCTCCAATTATCTGATGATAAGGGGGAATGATTTAAAAATTTTAAGATGGAATATTACACAGTTACTAAACATCACAGTTCATGGAGTTGGTTTTCTTCTTTTTCTTTTTGGCGGTACTGGGGGTTGAACCCAGGGCCTTTGCACTGATCTACATCCCCAGTCTTTTATTTTTATTTATTTTTGAGATACTGAGATATAATGCTGCTAAACTGCCTAGATCGGCCTTCAATTTGCAATCCTCCTGCCTCAGCTTCCTAAACAGCTAGGATTACAGGCGTGCAACACCATGCCCTAGCTTCATAGAGATTTTCTGTTTTTATTTTTAAAACAGGGTCTCGCTATGTAGGCTAGTCTGGGCTCGAACTCACAACGGCCCTCCTGCCTCCGCCTCCCAAGTGCTGGGATTACAGATATTCACCACCATGCCTGGCCTGTTCTTGAGTTTTTAAAATCCAGTTTAATTTTTTGTTCCCCTCAGGGGAGTAAAAGAGAAAAAAACTCCGAAAGCGGGGACATAAACAGAGCCAGAAATGAGGCTAAGAAAAACACATCCTTTCAAACCCACCCCATCAGCATATGGTCGGGCCATAAATTTGGCTTCAAGCTCCTCAGCAGCCACCTCAGAAAGAGAAAGCTGGTCATTTATACGGCTCTCGGTGTCCTGAAACAAAAGTACGCCAGCTGCTCGGGAGAAGGCGCAACTATTTTTGTTCTTGAGAACAGGCAGGGATTTCTCCCACGGTCCTCCACAAAAGGACTCGGTGTGAAGTCACCGGTCTTTCCGGACGACGCCTTATATAGAAAAGCTGCTCTCGAAGGTGCGCCTGGTACTCCACCCGCACTGGGAGGGCGGGGCCGCCCTGGCTCTGGGGCGGCCTCTCTGTGCCTGCGCGCGCATCTGCGGACGCACAGGTTAACTGCCCTTGCTCGGGGTCCGCTGGGAGGACTCAGTGAGCCAGTAAAGGCGCGAAAGCAGTTAGGAGTCCTCAGCATACGGTAAGTGCTACGTAAGTGTGTGTTTGCGGCTATTCTCTCTCTTTCTCAGGTACTGAGCACTGAACCCCGGGCCTTCCCAGTGAACCACTTCCCCAGCCATTTTAAATTTTATTTTATTTCATTTTGACACAGGATCTCGCTAAGTCACTAAGTTGCCTATCTCAAATTTGAGCCCAGTCTGGGCAGCTGAGCAACTTAGCGAGGCCCTGTCTCAAAAAAAAAAAAAAAAATAAGTCCAACAATAAGAGAGAGGGAGTGACAGATGGGAGGAGACCCTTGCTCATCTCGGCCCTGTGCTCCAGGCACTGTCCTGTCCTGAAGTTCCCCGGGGCATGGAGGGGGGGGTGGCTGTCCTGAGCATCTCCACACCCTACCTGTCCTCTCTGGTTGCTGTTCCTGCCTGGAGCACATTCTGATTTTTCTTTCCTACCTCAGGACCTTTGCAAGCCAGACACCCCACACCGACTGTCAACACCCCACCCTGCCTCACCCCAGACTGACTCTTCTTGGTGCCTGGGGCTCAGAAATCAGAGTCTCTGCCAAGGCAGCCTCTGTGACTCATCTCCCAGGCATCCTGTGCATTTCCCCCAGGCTTCTGTTCCTTCTGTGACTATAACAAAATACCCGAGGCAGGCTGCTTTTAAAGAAAAGGGCTTTGTTTAGCTCAGGATTCCAGGGCCAGGCAAGAAGAGGCCGTCCCCCCAATTGACCTAAGGACCGCCCACTAGGCCCTGCCTCTTAAAGGTCCCCCCACCACACTGAGGACCATGATTCCAAGGCATGAACCTGTAGAGAGGACAAACAACCTCCAAACCATGGCAATTACTGTGCACCAAATGCTGCTCCAAGCACCTTTCTCTCTTTTTCTTTCTTTCTTCTTTCTTTTTTCTTCTGTATGAGGGAATGAACCCAAGGTCTTTGCACTGAAATACACTCCACACTATTAAAAAAATTTTTTTTTTTTTTTTTGGTACCAGGGATCGAACATGGGTCCTTCCGCTTGCAAGGCAGGCAGTGGAACCACTGAGCTAAATCCCCGGCCCCCAATTTTTTTTTCTTTAAATTTGAGACAGGGTGCTGGGGATTTAGCTCAGTGGCACTGCGCCTGCCTTGCAAGTGCAAGGTCCTGAGTTTGATCCCTGGTACCAAAAAAAAAAAAAAAAAGTGGCTAAATTTTGAGACAGGATCTTGCTATGTTGCTAAGTTGCCCAGGCTGGGGTTAAACCTGTGACTCTCCTGCCTCTGTCTCCCAGAGTGCTGGATGACAGGTGTGAACCTCCACACCCCACTAGCATGTTGCATTTACTGATTTAACCCCCATGACAAAGCTGTGAGATAGTACTGTCATCTCCCTCTCTGATAAGTGACAAAACTTGGGTTTAGAGAGGCCAAAGCAGTACAGACTAGAAAGGGTGGAGCCGGAGTTCAAAGACGGGCTGTGCAGCTCTGTATCCTCCACCTCCACTGTCTTCTCTAAGCTGGATAACTGTGCCATTAGGGCCTCATCGGTGTGACAGAGGCTGTCTCTGTCCCTACACAGGCACTGGTAAGAGGGTGGGAGTTTTATCTGCTTTGCAAATAATTCACCCTCGAATCCCCAGAGCCAGTGTGATGAATGTTTGTTGAATGACTAGATGTTGATAGACCAGCGGGACAGAGAGAAAACATCTCTGCTGATCCACCACGAATCCCCCCCCCCCATCTTCCATGGCTCCCGGGAGGGACTGGTTGAGGCTTCTTCCACTGCCTGCCAGGATGGCAGGGGCTGAGATGGATGATCAGGGCCAGGCCTGTCTGCTGCGGCTGAGCCGTGACGGCTGTGTCCCTTTGCGGGACTTGAGATAATAGCAGCTGCCCTTGTCAAACCTCCGAGCCATGGACAAATCCCCCCTGAGTGATAAGCCTGACAGCCTTAAAGGAGATGTCAGTAGCCCGTGCTGGGCGGGAGTGGGGAAGCTTCAGCCTGAGCTGCAGGCTTTGCCCAGAGAGCCTCATGGCTGGGCGTAACTGTGGGTTTGTCCATTCATCTGTCCACTCATCTGTCCATCAGTCTGTCCATCCATCCACTGCGACAGAAAAGGTAGGGTGCTGAGAGGGGAGAGCAGATTTGGAGAGGGGATGGAAATCAAGTGTTTAGCCTGAGAGACCATCAGTTCTCAACTGTGGCCAAGTCCAAGTGGGTGTCAAGTTTGTGGTCTAGGGAGGGGCGCAGAGAGGGCGTGGCCGGAAGTCTGCATTTGGTGACGTCCGCCAAGATGGGATGAGAGAAGACACAGAGAACCGTCAGTGCCCACCCCAAGGTGATGACGATGATGTTAATGATTTCTGCAGTACTGGGGAATGAAGCAGGGCCTCATAGTAGCCAGGCAAGTGCTCTACGCGAGCTGCACCCCTGGCCGTTTTTCAAAATTTTTATTTTGATACAAGGTTTCACTAAATTGCCCAGGCGGACCTTGAACTTGCCATCTTCCTGCCTCAGTCTCTGACAGAAGCTGAGATTCCAGGTGTGCACCCCTGCACCTGCTTCCAAGTGCCATTTCTTTCTTTCTTTTTTTTTTTTTTTTGGGATCGAACTCGGGACCTTGCGCTTGCAAGGCAGGCGCTGTAACCATTGAGCTAAATCCCTGGCCCAGTGGCCATTTCTAGAGCTCCCTCTTTGAAGCTACTTGGCAAAAAGTACAAATAAGGAAGCTTAGAGCCCCAATTCCATGGTAGATATCAACACTAGCTCCGCTTTACAGGTGGGAAAACCGAGGCACAGGGAGGAATATCCAGCTGGCCAAACTGCAGAGCTAGGATCTAGATGTTGACCTGTCTGACTGTTCATCACTATGCCATGAGGCCACACGTTCCTCTCCCCTAGCAGCTATGTCCTCTAGGCCATTCTTCCCGGAGACACCACAGCTGTCTTTCTTGTCTTTTCTTTCTGCACTACTGGGGATGGAACCCAGGGCCCATGTACTGAGCTCCATCCCCAGCCCTTTTTTGTTTTTTATTTTGAGACAGGGTCTTGCTAAGTCACTAAGTTGCCCAGGCTGGGTTTGAACTTGAGATCCTCCTGTCTCAGCCTCCCTCCCAGAATGCTGAGATTACAAATGTGCATTAACAAACCCAGCACTACAGCCATCTTTCAATGTGTCACCCCCACCTTAGACCTTCTGGGGGCTCCCAGCGCCCTCTGTGAGAATCCAAATGCCATACAGACATGCTCACCAATCCCGCCCTGCTGAGCCTGGCTCAATCCTCACCCTCTCCATGCCTGTCTCTGCCCCCACCATCCTTCAGCTCCTGTTTCCGGCCTCCAGCCCTGTGTCCTGTTGGGTTTGGTGCCCAGGATGCTCTTGCTCCCCTTTCTCACAGGGAAAACCTGCTCAGGCCTTTGCAGAAGTTCGCGTTCCTTGTTCTCGGTGGGTCCGCTATGGGTTGGGTATGGTGTGGGTGTGTCCCCTCAGGGTGCATGTGCTGGAAGCTTCGTGGCCACTGTGGTGCTCTCAGGAAGTGGAGAGGCCTGTAAGAGGTTGCGTTCCTTAATTGTGATTTGTCAGTTTGACTAGCAGATTAATAAAACTCCGGGTCTGTCTGCGGATGATTGGTGGGAAGGCCAGCACACCGAGGAGAGAAGACTTCCCCTAGATGTGTGGCACCAACCAATAGGCTTGTAGAAGCACCAACCAATAGGCTTGCAGTGTGGTCGGAAGAAAAGGGAAAGAAAGAACTCTTTCGGTTTTGAAAGAGCTCCAGCCTTCACCATTGCTTTTGCAGATCCATCTCCAGTTTCTTTAACCTTCCAGCACAGACTCACCCTAGTAACTCTACAGTGAGCTTCCAGGTGAGCTTGACCTCTGTTATGGGATCCTCTGGCTGTCCGGGAAGTAAAGGGCCATTGTAGACTCTCCTGCCTCTGATTCTGCAATTATACATGTATTTTCTATTCATTCTGTATTGATTCTAATAGAGAGGTGGAGGCTTGTGGGTGCTATTAGGTTACTGGAGGGATCGCCCTGGGAAGGGATTAATGCTGATTCAAGGAGAAAACAGGTGATAAAAGGGTTGAAATGAGAATGGGTTATAAAAGGAGCAACTTTGGCCTGTGAATCGCTGTGACTTTCTGTCTCAGTGTGACCCCTTCTGAGTGTTCCGGCTGTTGTGATGCCATTAGTCATGAGGCCTTTACATAGGCCAAACCAGGAGGGCCATTCAGTCTCGGACTTTCAGCTCCCCAAACTGTGAGCTAATAAACCTTTCATCTTTATAGACTACTCAGCCTCATGCATTTTGTTATAGTAGCAGGACTTGGAATAAGCTCTCTCAAATGTTCCTTCAGTATTTGGTACACACACACACACACACACACACACAAACACAAGAGTCCTCTGACAGCAGGTTATGACAATCCCATGCAAGAAGAGGTTCTTTAGCATCACCATGGCAGCAATAAATAACAATAATAATAAACAACCATTTATTGCACATGTGTTCTGAGCTATGCCATGTTCTAAGTGTTTTGCAGTTTAATTTCTCTCTAGTCTTCATAAGGACCCGATCAGATTGAACCATAATGAATGTTCAGAGACCTGCATCTGCCACTTCCTGTTTGTATGTCCCCAAGCAGATCACTTTGTCTTTGTCATTAGCAAAACGGCAGTAAAAACTGCCCTCCTCCCAGCTACCCAGAGATACACACACACACATTTAACTGCAAGCTGTTTGAGACTGAATTTTCATCGGCTCTGTCTGGTGCTATAGAAAAGAGATGCACCCAGTGCATGGGAAAAGGACTGCTCAGTTACCAGCTGCTCTTAGATTCATTCCTTTTCCTTCTCCTGCCCAGCTCTGCATGCATGGGAACTACATCTCCCACACCCCCTTGCTCTCTGACTTCAGGGAAGGTTCAGCCAGTGAGGCGCTCATAAAGGATGGGAGGGAGGGAGGGGCAAAGGGAGAAGCAGGAGACTGTCTTTCCTTCCTTTCTGTACCAGTGATCGAACTGGGGACCTTGCACTTGCCAGGCAGGCGGCGGCACCACTGACCTTTTTTCCCTGGCCCAGCCAGGAGTATTTCAAGCTGTCTGCCTCTTGAACACAGTGTGCTTGCGTCTCCCACTGCACACACAATCTTGGCCTCTGCCTATACCCCCTCTTCTCTCTGGGCTCCACTCTCAGGGATATAGAGACCTGCTCTATGGTTCCCAATCTCTGGGTTTTTTTCCATCCTTTGTTTAGTTTGTCCTCTCTTCCATCATCTGCATAAACAGTTGCCTGGATTGAAACCCCTGAAAGGCCTAGAAGAGCTCAGCTTGTCTGGTCCTTGAGGGGGGACGTTAGCTGCTCAATAAATATCGGTGGGAAAAAAATAAATTAATACCCGCGAATGCACTGTTAGCTGTAGAGTCCAACAGCACAGTCTGGGTCCAAATTCTGACCTGCTTCTTTCTGTGTGACCTTGGGCAGGTGGCTTAACCTCTCTACCCACCCCCTCTTTTTGGAGGGGTATTTGTTGAGGCATGGTTATGGTGGGAGTGTGACGGGCAGAGGTCACACAGTGAAGTGAGTGTGGTCCAGGGGCCAAGCTTTCTCTTTGTATAACAACCCGCTCTCTGGAAAACTAACTGGGCCCGAGGTAACTACATTCATCTCTTCTGAAGGCCATGCCCCTTTGACCCGAGAGCCTCCCACTAGGCCCCACCTCTTAAAGGCTCCATCACCTCAAGACTGTGGGCCAAGCTTCCAGCACATGAACTCTGCGGGGACACACTCAAACTATATCCAAACCACCGCATCATCTAAAAGCTGAGGTCACAGCCAGCTGTAGTGGTGCACGTTTGTAATCCCAGCACTCTGGGAGGCTGAGGCAGGAGGATCACAAGTTAAGCCCACCCCGGGCAACTTAGCAAGAGACCCTGTCTCACAATAAAAAATTTTTAAAAGGGCTGGGAATGTAGCTCAGTGAGAAAGCCCTGGGTTCAATCTCCAGTACCGAAACAAAAAACCAAAAAGCCCTGCTGAGGTGATCATGGTGTGACCTCAGGGGTGCGTGCTGAGGATGCTATGAATTAGAGACCGTGAATCAGAGACAATAGTGGCACCTGGCAGAGTACGCACACAGTCATCGGAGCTTTTATTACCTACACACAGAACCAGCACAGTTCCAGAACTGTCACAGATTTCCTGCTGATTTTTTCCCTAATAAACTTTTATTTTGACATCATTTTAGATTCACAGGAAAATTTTTTTTTTTTTTGGTACCGGGGATCGACCTCGGGACCTTGTGCTTGGGAAGCAGGCAGCAGAACCACTGAGCTAAATCCTGGCCCAAAATGTCTATCCTTTTTTTTTTTTGGCACGGGGATCGAACTCAGGACCTTGTGCTTTTGAGGCAGGCGCCGGAACCACTGAGCTAAATCCCCAGCCCTCACAAGAAAATTAAGTATTAGTTCCCCCACACAGCGCGGGAGCTGCCCCTCCATAAGCATCTTACATAACTGCGTCACATTTGTCACAGCCTAGATGCCACCTTCCTGGAGAATCAGCTCAGACTGTGTGTGAATCTTCCCGTTTCCCACTCAGGTCTTTTTCTTTTCTGGTCCACAAACCAATCCAGGATCCCACGTTGCATTAAATCATTGCAGCTCTTTAGTCTCCACTGTTCGGGGACCATTTCTTAGTCTTATCTTTCACTACCTTGACCGTTTTGAGGACTATGAGGCAGGGGTTTTGTAGAATAATGCCCCAACTGGCTTTATTTTTATTTATTATTATTGTGTTACTGGGGATTGAATCCAGGGCCTTCACACTGAGCTACACTCCACCAGCCTTTTTTATTTTTTTTTATTTTGAGACAGGGTCTGGCGAAGTCGCTAAGTTACCCAGGTGGCTGGAACTTTCGATCCCCCTGCCTCAGCCTCCCAGAGTCCTGGGATGACAGGTGTGTGCCATCACATCTGACTCCCCCTGGCTTTTAAGGGCAGAAAGTAAACTTGTAATTCAATGGTAGAGAAAGGCCCTGGCTTAGATCCTCAGTACTGGAAAAGAAAAATGAAAGAAAGAAAGAAAAAAGCATTCCTGGCCCCAGTGTTCCCGGCCGGAAGCCCCCTGCCTATGACTCAGCTTCGGAATGAATGAATCCATGAGTTACCATTCGATCTTCCTTGCTTGCTGCACCCCATGTTCTGTGGCATCCCTCCCAGAGGCAAGATCTAGAAACCTTCATAGGTACATAAAAGCCCTTCTCTTTGCAGAGAGATTCGTTTTTGATCCTTTCTTTGTAGACATCAAGGATTCATTTCTTTAATATTTAGGGACTTTTGAACCAAAGACGAGCCAGACATTTGTGTCAGACAGCTCATTTTTTTCAAGGCGGGGTGGGGGGAGATATCTGTCTGTCTGCTTCTCCTTCCCAGGCTTTCATGGCTGTGGCCTAGGTTGGGATGAGGATTCTGCAATAAAACACAAGAGAGGGGTCCTCCCAAGGAATTTTTATTTATTTATGTATTTATTCTTGCACTACTGGAGATTGAACCCAAGGCCTTCACACTGAGCTCCATCCCCAGCTCTTTTTTATCTTTTTAAAATTTTTATTTATTTTGAGACAGGGTCTGTCTCAGTTGCTAAGTTGCCCAGCCTGGGCTGGAATGTGGGTGCGATCCTCCTGCCTCAGCCTCCCAGAGTGCTTCGAGGACAGGTATGCACCACCATGCCTGGCTTCCCAAGGACTCTTAATGAGGCTCCACCAAGTGGCCTAAGCTGAGCTGGTAATGGAGATAAATTGATGGTTTTATTTCCTGGCCCCTCTGAAAGGCTCCGCATTTGCCCCGGGGACCAGGCTGCCAGCCTTTGGAAAACACAAAGCCTGGCTGCTGAGAAACAGGAATCCCTGGGAACCAGGTAGGCCCAAAGCTCTGACTGCTTTTTTTATCTCTCAGCCCTGGAATGCAAGAAGAATGCCAGAGGGGAGGTCATTTCTCCGCCACCTGTCCCTGTGTCCCTGCAGTGGAAGAGCTAGGTTTAATCTCTTGCCTGAAGTTTGTCAGAAGTAAAAATGAGCCTGAGCGAGCTTTTTAGACACTTCCCTCAACTTACAGGAATTCAATTTCTGACCAGAGTATAAATCTGCAGCCATCAGGGCAGGCGGTGGGGGCTGGGGCCGGGCCTCTCGGCTGGGGATGGATTTCTGAAATCAATCCGGCGGCTCATGGAAAAGGTCGTTGTGGGGAAAATTTATCTTCCATAGCTGTGGATGCATTTGTGCTGATAGTCAGGGACTCCCCTGCATGGAAGGAGGGCTTGACTGTGAGGGGCCAGAGGGAGGGAGACCTCAAGGGTTGGACATCGAGGACAGCAAGTGCCCAGAGAAGGTGGCACAGGATCAACCTGCCAGTTAATGGCTCAACAAAGGGATAGTGGGCAGTGGAGCACACTTGTAATTCCAGCTACTTGGAGGCTGAGGCAGGAGGATCGATGCAAGTTCCAGGCCAGTCTGAGCTACATAGCAAGACCTTGTCTTGAAAAACCAAAAAATTAGAGTAAATAAAATCTTAACATGTGATGCCTTGGGCTCTATCCTCAGGAACTTGGGGAACTCCAGGGGTGCCTAGTTAATTTGGGGGTTGAAATCTTTTATCCCTGGGCTGCACCTCTGGATTCTCAGTTTCAAGAAATGGGTTGCAAAGGCATTCTATCCCCCAGCTGCCTTGGATCGTGGTCCTGTGTTCAAATCCAAACTCTGCTGTGTGACCTCGGCTAGTGACTTTACTATCCTGTGCCTCAGCTTCCCCAGCTGTCACAGGAGGTTAAGAACAGCACTGGTGTTAAAAGGTTGTTCGTATGTTAA